CATAAATATGGTAAAAGTTGAAATTATAATAAACACTTTAAATTACTTTTATATTCTTATTTATATATTTTTAAAATTAATTATTAAATGTATTATTTAATGAAATAATTGGCTCAAAATTATTCTTTTATTATTTTGAATAAGTATCATTCTCGTTTGATCCTCTGGTTCAAGGGAAAACCTCAAAGAAATTGAAGAACACCCTGGTAAACATTCATTTAGACTTTATGCATATGTACATATAAGTAATTGAATATACATATAGACTTGGGATCACTTGAGACAAAATTGTTTTCATGAGATATGATTTTTACACATGAAATTTCACAGTAAAACACTATGAAATTCATTGTGTTCTTGTTGTGAAAAATTGACTTTTTTTACATTTACAACATTTTGTTGTGAAGTTTTAAATGTAAAAATTGTGTTACATGTGTCTTATGATAACAGTCTTATATCACATGAACCCAACCCTTTTATATATATATATAGCAAGAGAGAGAGGTTCATAGGAAAACCTCAAAATAATTGAAGAACACTTTGATAACCGTTCATTTGGACCGTATGCACATGTGCATATAAGTAATTGAAGTTATTTTTTGGTTTTATGCACGTGTATATGTTATGCAATTGTACATACCAGACAAATTGCTTACAAATTATCCAGATGAACGGTTATTATGATTTTACTCAATTTTTTCATTTTTTTGATACATTAGATATATACTTAGAAAAAGAGGATCAAACGAGGATTAAATATATTTAAAAAAAATAAGAGAATAATTTTAGGTAAATTATTTTATTAAATAATAACAATAAAACTTCCTTAAAAATCGCTAAAAGGGAAAATGTTATTTAATATATTTAATTGAGGTATGTATTCATGATTTTTTTATAATTTTCGTGATTCAGACATGATTTTTTTTACAACATTTAAAATAAGTATAATTTAATTTTTTTATTTAAATATTTATTTTTATTGAAATAATTTCTTTAAGATTTTTTTTATAATTTTTGTAAAAAATCACATGTAATATCCACAATTGATGAACATTTTTTCTTCCTAAAGAAGAATCGTTAATTTTCAACAATGTATCATATATGATATTGATAATAGTAGAAAAGAAATGTAAGTTATCTACGACACTACCTGTGTTGTTAAACATTTTAAATGTTTTTTGTTACACATTACTTGTGATTCTGTTATTTCATTATTTTTTATTTAATGTTTAATTTGAATCATTATGAATCACATGATTTTGATGAAAATAATTTTCAAAAATTGGTTTAAATAAAAAAAATGAATTCTTTAAATAAAAATTAAATACGCTTATTTTAAATACATTAAATGTAAAATGTATTTTAAATAGAAATTTAAATTATATTAAAATCATAATATGGTAAAAATTGAATTTTAAATAAACACCTTAAATAAATTTTAAATAACTAAATTATTTTTATATTCTCATTTATTTATTTTAAAATGTATTATTTAATGAATTGATTGGCTCAAAATTATTCTTTTAGATATGTATCATTTTCGTTTGATCATTCCTCTTTCTCTCTCTCTTTATATATATATATATATATATATATATATATATATATATAGGGTGGTTCAAATACTAACCCAATATTTTGTGCAAACTTTGCTAACCCACATCAACCAATAATGTTGCATCTTTGGGTTTGGTTAAAATGTAACTTACATATTAATGATAAGGGTATTTAGGTCATTAGTCATTCTTATGTAACTCCCAAATATTTTAATTGGGAGTTACAAATCCTACAATATCTCAAATTGATCTTCATCTAATAATGACATGAATATTCAAATATGTTCATCTTATTGACAACTAATTCACATATGAAACCACCTACAACGAACATCATGCACGAACAGATATAAAGTACAGRTATCGGTTTTATCTGCACAACACCTGTTTTTGTTAATGTGCATGTCTCATCGTCGTGCATGTGTATCACTACGTGCATGCATCAAGGTTGAAGAACATGATCATATGACCAACATATATCGATTATAGTGTTCATTAGGTTCACACGGTGTAGCTAATGTTCATATATATAGGGTTCACACGGTGTAGCTAATGTTCATATATCTAGGGTTCACACGGTGTAGCTAATGTTCATATATTTAGGGTTCACACCATAGGGTTCACATGAATGTTCATACCTTGATGTCCACACCATAGGGTTCACATGAATGTTCATACCTTGATATAGGCACGAAGATGAACGATTGTTCATACACATATTAATTAATATAAATTTTTGACCAATTTATCCTTTGAACAATTRTTCATACACATATTAATTAATATATTAATTAAATTATTGTTTATTTAATCTCATTTAATAATAACCGTTAGATGAGAAAATGAACGATTAAGATGGGTTAGCATAGTTTGCACAAAATATTGGGTTAGTATTTGAACCAGCCCCTATATATATGGAGAGAGAGAGATGTTCAAGGGAAAACCTCAAAGAAAGTGAGAACACCCTAGTAAGCATTCATCTGGGGTGTGTCTGTGTATATATATATATRTGTAGAGAGAGAGAGAGAGAGAGGGGTTCAAGGGAGAGCCTCAAAGAAATTGAAGTAGACCCTGGTAAGCGTTAATCTGAACCGTATACACCCTGTTTTTTTGTTTTATGCACATGGGCATGTTTTGCAGTTGTGCATACCTGATAAATTGCTTACAAATTATTTATATGCACATGTAAATATGTCACAGATGAACGGTTATCAAAGTATTACTCAGTTTTTTATTTTTTTGATGTTTATCTCTGAAAATCTCTCTCTCTCTCTCTCTCTCTCTATATATATATATATATAGATAAATAATCATTACCATTCTTATTTTAGTTTATTAAGAGAAAATGATAAGATAATTGGTAATATTTAGTTGTTTTTTTAAGATGGTTTTAGATATTTGATTATTGATTAAGACTAATATTAAATTATTTGTTATATATTTTGTCCAAACTTTTATTTGGGTACATACCCATAAAAGCTGCATTTTAGATGTGTATGACAAGATGTTTAAAACAAATAAAAAGAAGATGTTTTTAGAAATKAAGATGTGTTAATTCTTTTGGTGCACAAAATATTCTCTCAATTCAATTAATATAATAACAACGTTTTTAGAATCGAGCGATTGATAAGTAAATTCAATGGAAACATAAATATGTTTCATTTGAATGCAGTTTGAAATGATTGCGTAGTACATAATATATATTTGGTGGAGTGGATATATAATTTAATGATACCAAAATCAAATATCACCAATATTTTTGTAATAATTATGGATCTAATTTGTAGCATTTATTGTAGAATGCCAAACTGTAATCGCGTTTACACCATGTCGACCTCTTTTTCTATTTGGCTTGATAAGGATATGGAGTAATTAAAGAAAACTGAAAAGGTGTTGAGTTTTTGAAATCTTAATTCAAGACTGGATCTGATTAGCAGCAGATACCATTCATTCCCACCAATTAAACATCTCTGCTCTTCTTCCTTCATCCAATTCCATCATATTATTATTAATAGTAAGCACAATAAAGTCAATAGAAATCACTAGTTGTTTCTACGCAAACAATTCAACAGATCCCCAACAACCAAGAAACCTTGATTCATTAATTTAACATTTCCAACCAAATAATTTTGCCGACAAAAGTCGTCTTTCTAGCACAATCAGGAAACATGAACACTGTTGCAGCTTGTCTTTGGCTTCAAATATTGGCATTAGCTGTATTTAGTAGTAGTTTTTTTTTAGTAATTTGAATATCCAACCTGCTATTCGAGCCGAGTAAGGGTCCATCACCTGATTTATGAATAGCCCAGAATCATCGCTCTGAACATCTGTATTTAATAGTTATATATGGTCTTAAGACTTAAAGAACCTATACATATTTTCTGTGTATAAAATCTGATACAGATTCTAATGAGAGAGAGAGAGAGAGAGGATGTTCTAGTCTTTCTTTAATGGAAAAAGAATTATTGGGTTTCAGGTTAATTAATAGAATATCTTATAATTACACTTTCAAAATGTTGGAGATTTTGTCCTCTTTATGAGTCCACCCTACTCCCTTTTCTCTATATTAACCTCCATATCCATCATATAAACCATATTCCAAGACTTCCATTCCATTCTGGTACGAGAAATAACTTAAAAACCGGCCTCTTCTTTTTAACAGATTGATCTGGAGATGGAAGGAATGATTCTAGTGCATGTCTTCGTGTTTCTTGTCGCACTTATCTCCTACATTTTCATAAGAAGGAACCGAAGGGATATGGCTAAGCTCCCTCCAGGTTCACTCGGCTGGCCATATATTGGGGAAACACTTCAACTCTACTCTCAAGATCCAAACGTCTTCTTTGCTAACAAACAGAAAAGGTCTCTCAATTAATTCCTTCAATCACATTAGTCGGCAGTGTATATATGTATCGATCCTATGGTCTGATCAGTTCTCAACACCATGGATTCTAATTGTGCAGGTATGGTGAAATCTTCAAGACCCACATCTTGGGCTGTCCTAGTATTATGTTGGCTAGCCCTGAGGCAGCTCGGTTCGTGTTGGTCACCCAAGCCCATTTGTTCAAACCGACTTATCCTAAAAGCAAAGAGAACTTGATCGGCCCTTTGGCATTGTTTTTCCATCAAGGGGAGTACCACACTCGCCTAAGGAAGCTAGTTCAAGGCTCGTTATCGCTTGACAATCTCCGTGGTTTGGTCTCAGATATTGAAGCAATATCAGTCTCCACCTTGAACTCATGGACAGACGGCCACATCGTCAACACGTTTTATGAGATGAAAAAGGTTTGTTTTAGATTCTTCTTCATTTATGTTTCACTCTGGTTTACATACAAGTCAGAGTAAAGTTTTGTCTTCATCTTTATGTACTTATCAACGATTTTTGTTGGAACTGTTTAACAATTAATGTGGTGTGATTTATTTTTTCAGCTATCCTTTGAGGTTGGAATACTCGCTATATTCGGACACTTGGGGACCAGCCAAAAAGAGCAACTAAAGAGAAACTACAGCATCGTAGATAAAGGTTACAACTCTTTCCCGACGAAATTACCAGGCACCCCCTTCAAAAAGGCTATCATGGTAAGCCATGTTTATCATATTCCATTCAACTTTTTTTCTTTCTGAAACATTCAAAATAAGATCTGCTTACTTGAAAACCATGTATATCTAAAGCAAAAATGTTGATCGTGATGTAAAATGATGTATATTGTATATATGAAACTGGCTTTTGAGTTTTGACTTGTGAACTTAAAAAATACCAACCTCTATCTAGGCCAGGAGACAGCTGCAGAAGATTTTAAGTGAACTCATTTCGAAGAGGAAAGAAAAGACGTCAATAGAGAAAGACCTGTTGGGATGTCTGCTGAACTCCAAAGATGAGAAGGGTGAAATCTTGAGTGAAGATCAGATTGCCGATAACATCATCGGAGTTCTGTTTGCTGCTCAAGACACCACAGCCAGTGCAATGACCTGGATTCTCAAGTACCTGCATGATCACCCGAAACTTCTAGAGACAGTAAAGGTAAAGATCGATATACAAGATGCTGGATTCCTTTGATCTCTAGAAAAGCAGGAGTTCAATTCTCATAGTATTGGGTTTAGCATGAAAGATAGTTTCATCCTCGATCAAAAATTGGAACTGTATGTTTCTGTAGGGTGAGCAGAAGCTAATCCACCAGCTTAATGATGAGGCTAATCTTCAGTTGACATGGACTCAGACAAGAAATATGCCGATTACTCACAAGGTATGCACCCGACTTCCTTGATTGTTGGAATGCTACATCGGTTAGACTTTAACATTTTTCCTGAATATATGATGGAACCTTGTTCTCTCCTCAAAGGGCTCTTGTGAAAAAGCCCAACACTATTAGGACAATTTGTACCCATCTAGTCCCATCTCGATATTAACAATTTGTGCCTCTCTAGCCTGTGTTGGAAGGGTGTGTTGACTAGACATTAACCTCTTCTCCTCAATATATGATGGAGCCTCCATTCTCTCCTTGGAGGCTATTTTTGGAAGTAGATAAATAGGGTTCCACATATTTTCACACCATCTATAGTATAGCAAGGTATAACCTTCCATGCACAAGACACAAGTCATTAAGGCATTATACCGGATATAGCGTTGTTCCGTTTTGGGAAAAATTATGTCAAGATCTTGGTACTCACATGCATTTAAGCTGCTCATTCTGTTTTTATTTTTGTTCTAAGATTTTTTTTCTCAATTTGCATATCTTTCAGGTGATATTGGAGAGCTTGAGGATGGCAAGCATTATATCATTCACATTTCGAGAGGCAGTTACTGATGTAGAATACAAGGGTAAGATCGATAAAAGTCAGACACAACAGTCTTGGAAGTTCCTTTTCCTTACGATTGTTCCTTTCTCCGGATTATAACAATACTTCTGTCCACATTACTGTTTAGTTCTGTTTAACAGATTACAATGTTTAACAAACTATACCGAATAATTTGAAACAGGCTTCCGAATACCAAAAGGCTGGAAGGTCATGCCTTTATTTAGGAATATCCATCACAATCCTGAATTCTTTCCTAATCCTCGGGAATTTGATCCTTCACGATTCGAGGTAAAGTGAAATATTTGATTAAATATTGATTGCTTTCAAAAGCTGTGTTTAGTGTAGTTCTAACTGTTTTCTGATTTTTCCTTATTTCATATATATGTAGGTTGCACCAAAGCCCAACACATTTATGCCGTTTGGAAGTGGAGTCCATGCTTGTCCTGGAAATGAGCTTGCTAAGCTAGAAATGCTCATTATGGTTCACCATCTAGTCACCAAGTACAGGTACAGTTTCATTTTTCTGAAAAATGTGGTTTGGGTGAATGCAATGCATCAAGACTCTTTAGCTTTGTGTCACTGTGTGGTATGGGATTGCATTTTGAATAGAGCCCAATGCCTCACCAATTGCTCCAAGGTTCAAACCCCGCATTCTAAACACACTACAACAAAATTGGCAAATGCCTTAATAGACTATTATCTATACTATTTATAAAACATTTGACAAAAATTCTTAAAAACCACTTTTTATGCGTAAAGTACTGTTTATTAATGCAAACTCAAGATTGCAAGTAGATTGTGCATAAGTACAACTTATTAAAGCTCCATATCTGAATTCGTGTAACTAACTGCACATAAACATAACCAAATACAGGATAAACATCTCATTTTAAATATAAAAATTCTAAAATAATAATTAAGATAATCATTGAATTCTAACAGAATACTTAATTATTATCTTTATAAAATTTATAATATTAAACAAAAAATAAATTATTTCATTATTAAACTTAAAT